AAACAATGTGGGATAATGTATATATATATACATTCTATATATATATATATAGGCTATATATATATTAAAAAAACGTTCCCCTTTGCAAAGTTTGCACACTCATTTATAAATATTTTTAGTTTATTGCTTTCCAGAATTTGTTCTAGACATCTAATAGCTTTGATTGTTGTAAATTATTTCTGAATGGCTCTCTGCAAGGTCATATTTACCATATAATGAACTACGTCACCTCACCTCACTGAACTCCTATTTACAACAGTTTCAACATCACCAAGGTTCATTTCACAAGCACCTTCACTTTTGTTGTTTTGTACAATTCCATTCCGTCCCTGGTTTAAGCAAACACAGAACGTTCCCCTAACGTTCCCGAATGGTCCCATGAGGTTATTTTTTCGGGAACCAAACAAGAACGTTATAGGAACGTTCCATGTAGGTTATTTTTAGGTTCCATTTTTATAACGTAGGGAGAATGTTCCGGGAACGTTCCCTTAACCTTAAGGGAAAGTTCTAGGAACGTTCTGGGAACCAAAAACTAACGTTCCCAGAACCTAAATGTCTCTGTTTATGTTGTTAGACTGCCTTAATCTTTCAAATCTGGACTTGTTCAGGTTTTCATTTGTGCTTCACTTTCAATCGAATTCCATGTGCACTCACTGGTCCCCCCCGCGGGATCTCCTCATCATGTCCGAGGCGTAATGGAGGTGCACCTGGCCTGCTTGCGGAATTCCGCACACGGGGTGGAACAATGCTCAGCGGTTCTTTGTTCCCAGTGGAGCATCCGAGCACCGCGGCGCGGGCCGTGTGAAGACCTGAGGGGGGAGCGAGGTGGTTTGAGTGGGTGGGCGGGGGGGTCTGCTCTCTGAACTTACTCTGTGAAAGTGATCTCTGACCTTTGATATCCAGAGAAGAACAACAAACATGACGTTCGTGGTATGACAGATGTCTAATGTTGATAAACCGTTCAAAGACTGATTGTGCTGCTGTACATGGAATTATGAAATGTTTTGAAATGCTGCACCTTCTTTTGTCTCATTTCTTCACATAGATCTGAGAGCTTTTATATAATCTCTCATGTTTTGTTGTGTATTATAGTAACCTAAAATAACGTATGAACTGTTAGCTATGAAAATTAACGATATTTAGTTTTTATTATTTAAGCTATTAAGCTTGAATCACACTGTATACTGTATACTTTTTCCCCTCATTAACATTAATTTAAGGGGTCCCTTAAAATTCTATCCACTGTAAAAATGAATATGCTATATCTAAGCAATAAAATTGTGGCAACAGATTACAAGCAATATTATTAATTAAATTTAACAAATTAGAATTGAGTAATAATTGATCAAATTACGTAATTAATTCCTTAAAAGTTAACCAGTCAAATGATTGTGAAAAAAATATTGTTAAAACACAAACAACATCATCAGATAACCTTTTCTATTTGTTCGTCTAACTGTTATAACTCAGGTATATCAGCCAAAAAAACTTAAAGTGAATGACATCAGGGTCAAGAGCCCAACTAAAACAAACACTGATCACCATAATGGTGACTTACAATATGGTTTTCTCCTTCAGCGATTCGTCTTGTTAACATCAGGTGTCTTCAATATTGGCAATATAAAATAAAGAGTTCTTCATTCATTTTTGACATCTACTGAATCTGTTATTCAGATATTTTTGTTTATTTTTTGTGTAAATTTGACTAATTTTAAATGTTAACTTTTAAGGAATTAATTAGATTAATTATTACTCAGTTCTAATTTGTTAAATGTAATTAATAATATTGCTTGTAATCTATTGTCACAATTTTATTGATTAGATATAGCGTATTCATTAACCCTCATGTCATTCCAAACCTATTTAACTTTTTCCTGTGAAATACAAAATATGGTATTTTGAAAAACATCTCTCTTATTTTTGAAATAATGGAATGAAAGTCAATGTTGTGCAGTCGTGCAGGTTTGGAATGACATGAAGTTGTTGAGTAAATGAATTTCAACTTAATTAATAATTATTTGGGGGAACCTCCCTTGACTATAATTTCTGCATTTACATAATATGATACTAAAAATACAAAATGCTAATTGAGCCAATTTAGATTTGCTGTATAATATGCATTGCATTCATGTCTCTCTTTTAAGACATAATGCCAGAGATCCAAATAAACAACACCGAAGTTGTCACTGTCAGATATGATTATTTTCTGTAGTGTTTAGTAAAGCCAGCTTCTGCAACAAGTCACATGGCAAGTGTATTTCCACAACAGAATGAAAGAATAGTCTATAGTTTAATATCTACGCATAAAACAGCCATATGGCAACATAATCCTGAGGTTTATGATCGTTTATGATTAAAAATAACAATCAGTGCAAAATAGACATTCGATTTCATTTCATTGTTCAACAAACTGAGCATGATGTTTATGCAATCATTCCTAAGATGTGATTAATATTATACTGTGCATTGTAACGGTTTCCCAGAAATGTTTCTCTCTCCAGAACAGTGTAAAAAAGGCCCTCCCCCATCAGAACTAGGGGTGGGCTGTAAAAAAAACTGACCTTGATTGAGTTTGATCATTAGTTTCAACAACAAGAGTAGCACAACATGTTCAATGGAATTAATTATCTGTGCTGGAATTTTCTCCTCCCTTGTTCTCCTCATTAGGGGTGCTGGGCCAGAGCAATGACGTTACTGTAAGTCCCCATTTTTGACTGTTGGTTGCATCATACAAAAAGAGTCACGCCACTGGTTAACGGAAATGTCAAACGGATCGGAATTTACATGTGCCTTTTGTGGGTGGGATATGTAGCCTACTTGTGTCTAAATGAATTATCTCACTCTGTCAGTGGCCTGGTCCTGTTGAAAACATGAATCAAAGCAGGAGTCAGAGAGAGAGAGAGGGGGTGATTTAGTATGCATGCTTTCACTTCTGAACAAGTGAAAAAACATTAGAATTACAACAGAATCATTTTAATCTAATTTACTGTAAAAAAAATACTGTTAGTTTAATTTCAACAAATAATTTATTTTAAAACTGGATTTTACTATAGGATTGTAAGGCATTTGTATTTAATGGGATAGAAGGTTTTTTTTTATTTTTTATTTTTTTAAGAAAACTGAATCAAATTATTCAAATTCCTTGGAATCTTCCATCTCTGGCTGAATTTAAAATATAACCAGTAGCACACACACACACACACAAAAAAAAAGGTTCAGAGGGGTTCTATGTAGAACTCTATGGGTTCTTGACTCAATTTTACAAAAATACAATAATAGCTTATATAAGGATTTTTTTTTTAAATATTGCATAATACTTTCATGGTTAGGTTATTTCAAAGTTTCTACTGATAAAGTTTATGACATGTTTGATTCATAAAATGTAATAAAAATACTTTTTTTACAGTCAACAAACAAAGAAATTAAAACTAAATCCATAAGATTATCCCATGATTGATGGTAACCCCTATTTAGTAAATAGTGCCTGACACAGGCTTTTCTACAACTCATATGAGCAGCATGCTATATGATATTTTTTTCTGAAAATGAATTAGTAATGTACTTAGAGAAAAAAAAAAAACGTTACTTTTTCAATCAAGTTAAGTTCAATAAGTTAATCAAATATGTATAAGTATACTTTAATCAAATAATAAATGTATATATTGAAATGTTAAATATCCCCTCATAAAAGGGTGAATATGAATTCCCATAATTCCTAGTAGTGAGGTTGTTTAGGATATCAGTATTTCGGTCTCTGGCTGTGCAGAGATACACAGTGGCCCCATAAACTTTCCCCCAAAGGCTGTCCGGAGATCCTCACTGCTGTGCTACATGCGTGATATGCATGCAGCTGTACTGACGCACCTGGGACCAGCAGGGCACAGTGGTCGGGATATGCCTTTGCCTTTAAGATCTAGCTCCCCATAGCCACAGCACTGTGTGACATCCACACTCAATATTAAACTGGTCTTTGAAGTCACTGAATTGTTGGGGATTTGTCGTTATTGTATATCCTTGCTATGCGGCCACATGCCGGATGTATGGCTTGAGTCTATATTTCCTTTATTGGGCCATACATTGCACGCATGCTGTTGCCCCTTCTATAGTCCCACTAAATTACAGTAAAACATGTACACATGCAGAGTTAGGCGCTGCTTACCTCTCCAATAGCTTGCAGGCTTAATGACCCCATAATGATCATATCTGAATCCAAATTAACCACAGTTTTTCCTAATAAACAGAATGCACTTGCAATAGAAAATTCAATCCAGATTTATAAAAAGAAATTGTACCGGGACATCTCATCCAACTCATTGCGGGACAAAATGTGGAGAATGTTGTGGCAAACACATTCAGAGATGTTTTCAGATTATATATTCAATTGCCTAGAAAGTTAAAAGTTAAATAAAATTATTAAAATTATATTGGCCACCTAATGTAATGTTACAGTAATCCTATTTAGTATAACTGAAAAAAGCCCACAGTGAAATTTTGCCAAAACAGAGATATTTAGCAAATGTATAAAAGAGATAGATAGATAGATAGATAGATAGATAGATAGATAGATAGATAGATAGATAGATAGATAGATAGATAGATAGATAGATAGATATTCAGCTGCAGCATAGGATGATGATAAACGGCTCATGTTTCTTTTCTTGCGTCCATCAACACTCCATCAGCAGCACCAGATAGTGTTGGCAGCACAGCAAGCGAGAAGTCGTTGTGTACTTTTATTGAATTCTGACGTTTCCCCTCCATTATAGCTAGTCGACCAATCAAATGTGAGCGGCTATAGACTGTAAAAAAAGATCTGAACGGACCCAATATTCAGCGCACGCGCCAACAGGCTACTCGGCTACTTTGATTAGAACGGGAGCGTAGCGTCCAGTGTGTGACGAAGATTCAATGGAATGATTTGATTGGTCGCGGCTGGGTCTAGACAATCGGAGGCGGGGAAACTGAAGAGTCGGTTCCAGCCCACTTTAAAAACCCGTCAAAACCGACTCACTGGCTCCAAGTCAATGAGAATAACGGCAGTAATTCATACCGGACGGTCCTCCCACCCCGTCCTCAAGTTTTGTGGTGTTATATGTTTTATCTGAGGTAACCTACGGGGAGAGCTTCATCTGAAGGACATTTCTCAATAATCTGCCATCACAGAAAATCTGTCCGGTAAGACTGAACGTTTTTAATATTGTCATATTCATCATACAATAGGCTACATCTTTCATAGATACGACACATGGCGTCGTTTTCCATATTTTTTGTCCGTTGTGACCCACATTTTAGTCGTAGTCTTTTAACAATGATGACATTACTATTCGTCACTGGATATATGTAAAACTATTGCCCCTGTGACCGATGAACACCTTGAGGTTTTCCTAACTATAATAATTTGGCATACGTCCGTTAATTCGTTGTGTGGGTTATTTGAATATCAGTGTAAATACTTTATGTCGCCTAGAAACAGCAGAAACTTTCCTGTCTTAATGGCTGCCTCAAATGCTGTGCCCACCAAGACAGCATTTTGAGCATCCTATGTGCGCGTGCAGATGTCAAAACTGAATCATAATCAGGTGAATGTGAAGCCCACTCTGCACGCGCCCGTGTAACCAAAAAGATGCTGTTTAGTTAGGAAGCCGACTACGGTTTAAGACAGCGTATGGCAAATCATGATGTCAAGGTGTAACTGTCTGCTTGTTGTAAGAAAAAAAAGAAAGAAAAAGTCTCATTAAAAGGCTTATATTTTTTGGGGGGCAAATTTTTGTTTTGTTTGGTAAAATCTTATATTTATATATATATACACAGACAAAAACATGTTGTTTTGTGTCAAGGACAATAGATTGTTAAAAAATCTGCCATTTTTGGCATTTTTATGAAAATCCACTTTTTTCAGCTCAGATAGAAAAGTGATGTTCCTAAATTAAAATATTATATATTATGCTATTATTCAAGGTTTAAGGAAATTTCTTACTTTACACCCCTTTTTTACACAAGTTTTTTTTTTTTAGAAAATATATAATTTTTTTTTTTTAGACACAAACATTAACTTTATAAGAACTAGTTGCCTGCTGTGTGTTTATAGCTTGCATTTCACCAGGTTTTTTTAGGCTTGATGACCTAAATGTTACGGCTTCAGGTTATCGGGATTCGGGATATGATTGTACTTGTGTTCCTGTGTGCACCTGTGCCTTAGTGAAGCATCAGCCCAGAGCGTCTGGGTAACAGATGAGACCCAGCAGAATTGACCTAGGTGAAGCTGAGATATTCAGTATCATGAGTTCACATAGAGCACGTCAGGTGGTTGAGGTGGCAGATTAAAGTACAGAACCTGCTGTGCTAACCAGTGATTAGGTGAGGAAGAGTGAAAGCACGATTTCCCTGTCTCTCTTTCTTTTTCTTTCTTTTTAAGTCTACTCTATCTGATACACAGGAGTTGTTAGACAGAGCATAATAATCACACCGTGACTTCAAAAGAATTGATTTCTTTCTAATCCTCTCACTTTTAACCGTACATCCTCTTAGATGTCTCAGGTTTGTTCTCCTGGTGTCCCATGTTATCTAAAGTGGCATTTCACAGGTCAAGATAACAGGTGAATACATGAAATATGATACTTATGTGCACATTATTATTATTTTATGTTCTTTAAAATTCACTGAAATCTCATTGGGACATGTCCTTAGGACATTTGACAAACTAATTAAGTTAAACAGGGTGGTTCAATAGAAAATGCCTCAACAAAGGTTATTTATTCTTATCCTAAGGCATTTTTGGATGGCTATTTTTTATTTGATTCAGAATTCAATTTCAGTGTGATGTTCAGTCACAGGATGGGTGGCCCAATCTGAACTATGTTAGCTTTAGTAGATTAGTCTGATGTTTGTCTGTTTGTAATATCAGTGCAGCTGGTAAATGAAAAGCAAACATGAATTAGCCTATTTTCTTACAGTAATATGCATGAAATGTGAATTATACTGTGCTGCAAGAGAGTTTGAATATATAAAGAAGCATAGCTTCATGACTCAAGATGATTTTGTTCTTTTTTTTTTTATTGATAGACATAATTTTGAGCCTATCATTTATTTGAACCTTAGAGAACTCTTTATGTGTTAAAAATGAATACATGTGTGCTGTTCCTGTAATTGCTGGATTGAATAACACAAGCCAAAGAAAAATAGAGCACGGTATTTATCACAGATATAGCGCAGCTGGTCCGTTATCACTGGTTCTGTTGAAAGCACTTCACATCCCAAGCAGATTGTGTGTGTTGATGTGACAGCTCTCAGTAGGGTCAATTGTGTGCTTGAAGTGGTATGAAAACAAAGAAAGGGCCTCCATTACTACAGTATAAGACGTCTATTGTATGAAGCCCCACTTATGGATATTTATGTTTTGTTTCACACTGAATTAATATGAACATTTGTAGTAAGTAAGATGTGCGTCACTGAGGTTTTTTAATTAGTGGTTGTAAATTATTGAGTAGGGAAGACCGGGCGTGAAGTGACATGTAGTACTAGTGAGTTGTAACACAATCTGTTTAACCAATTAGATATGTGCTACACGGTGACATCACTATCATACTTAACCACTGACCAACACCATCCCGAAGTAGCAGAAGTTGTCAAACTTGTCAAACTTAATATTTTGAATTAAAATGTTTGTTAGATTGCATAACAATTATTTGAACAAGCAAATTATTGAATACCACTATAAATTCATGCACAAAATTTAAAATGTGTGTGGGTTAAGTTTTAACAACAGTTTACACAGATTTACACAGTTTATGGATAAATACTGTAGTAGATTCCAGACAAAAACAGACAAATACAAGTTTGATACACAAAAACACACAGTTACACATTTAAATGAAATTAAAATAAATAAATAAATAAAATAAAATAACAAACTGTGTGCACTCCCTGTCCCTGACCTTTACTTTAATTTCTTTTACTTTACTTTAATTTAATTTCTTACTGGTGAATTTTGTGTGATGGTTCAGTTTACATGAATCTGATTAAATGTGTTGTCAAAGCTCTCGTTTGTGTAATATTATACATGTATTTTGTCCAATTCTATGTTTCATCTCCATCTTTGGCAGTTGTGTTTCAACATTGCTTGCAAACTGGCCACTGGTTTGCTTGTAGATCAGTATCGCCACTTTAGTGTTGGCAGAGAAGCATTGTCATCCAGCAGCAGTTTTTGGAGTCTAGCCATCTCATTAGCTGGATTACTGGTTGTTAAAGGGATACTCCACCCAAAAATGAAAATTCTGTCATCGTTTACTCACCCTCAAGTTGTTGCAAACCTGTATGAGTTTCTGGAACTTTGGCAACATTGACTTCCATAGTATTTATTTTTCTACAATGGAAGTCAATGGTGCCAAACAAAATATCTTCCTTTGTGTTCAGCAGAAGAAAGAAACTCATACAGGTTTGCAACAACTTGAGGGTGAGTAAATGATGACAGAATTGTCTTTTTTGGGTAGAGTATCCCTTTAATGAATTGATACTGAGTTTACTGACTACATGATTCAGATTTGAATCGTCTGGCCATGTTCAAAATAGCTGCTATGGATAGTTTTGGCATCAAGTTGCATGTGTAGTAATGCTTTCCAACACTAGGGATGGGTATCATTTGAATTATAGCGATTCCAATTCTGCTAACCGATTCTGATTCTTATTGATTTCAAGTTTCAATTATAATAAGGAAAAAAAAGGTCAGACATCTAGATATCATTCAGACATATTTATATTGTGACTTTTTGCAAAACATTTAGCAAAGTCCATAGATATAAGCATCAGTTCATACAGCCTTTAAAACTTTCTCCGACAAGTAGATGCAATGAGACCTGGTTGTCCTGGTTGTTCATGTGACGTTCGGCATAAAGCCTATGTACACGTGTTTTCTTTTTCAACTGTTCATGTTCACAATTTTGTGTGTATTTGTCCATTCAAGTGCAAGAAGATGTGAAAGAGAACTCAGTTCAGTATTTGCCCACTATATGTGCACAGCGCAGAAAACAGCATGCTGTTTGTCTATATGAATTACAAATTACAAAAGAATGTAATAAATCTAACAAGTTCAGAGTTATGTATGTAAATATCAGACAGAGATTGATAAGAGAACAACAGCGTGTTGTCAAATGTCATGTAATATGCCTACACTGTTTCTGTCAGACTTCGCAGCATTTAAACAATAGAATGAGGATGTTTATTGACGAGAAAAGTGAAAATGTGTCATACAATACACCGAAACGAAAATATAAATTAAAAAAGTATAAATTACAGAAATTTCATTTTTCGTAAACTATCCCTTCAACCCTATTTACTCTATCATATTTGACACGCAAAAATCTAAGGTCTTTAAATGATCAGGATGATCAAAACTTTGCGGAAAAAACTATCGTTCCTTCTGACTGAATGATACTGTCTGATTGCAGTTTATACTATGTTAGTAAGTAAAATGCCTTTTACCATCATTTTGCTGTGAAATCTTCACTGATTTTTAATAAGTATATACATCTTTTAGATTGTTAGTAATATTTCAAGATTAACAGGCACTTACTGGACTGAAGCCACTTAGTTTACTTAATTATATCCATCCATCCATCCATCCATAATTTAAAAAAAAAATTACCCAGGAAAGATCATGTTCAAATATGATACATCAGGCTTTTGAGTGACATTTATATGTACATCTCTTAGTCATCATTGCATTGAATATCATATAGTTTGCTCCCACAATAAAAAGCTTTACCAAAAAAAGCATTAAAATATTGTTTTACTAAGACATTATCGGGAGATATTATAACGTGCTCGGTTGTAGCAATGACTCGCAAGACGAATGAATATAAAGGAACACTCTTTAATGGAAATGTTCACAGGAAACATGTAGCTTAGAGAGCAACCAAACATCAATGAACATATGTTGACATAGCCAGTAGAAGGAAACTAAAGGTACGTTTACACGTCAACGATATGCTTAAAACGGAGAAGTGTTTCCTTTGAGTTTTCCGCGTACAGACGACACCACTGTTAACGTTCCTCACCCACATGTATCCGTGAAAATGCCTAAAAATGCTGTATTCTGTATGTATTCTGATGTATAATTTTTCACAATAAAAAAAAAAAATTGTCTAAAAATTGTATTTCATATGCCACGCTTTACAAGT